ATATATATGTTTGAGGAGGATTAAATATACTCATATGGGATTATATATATATATATATTTTAAAATAATAAAAAATTAACCTGAAATTAATTTTTTTCATTTCCGTTAGAGGAAAAGGGTATATGTGAGCCATTTGTATATAAGTAGGGGTATATATGAGCCACTTTCATAACGAGGGGTATATTAGCTCTAATTGACAAAGTTAAGGGGTATATCAGACTTTAAAAAATATGGTAGTACGTAGTATTTTTTATTTTTTAGTAGTGTCACGCGAATATACATAAGGTGAGTTGATGAAGTGAGAAAATATTTGTGTTTTGGGACCATATTTAACATTTTCTAAAACTTCTTATTTATTATATATGGGCATACATTTTACTTAAAAGAAGGACTCAAACATTAGCAATATATTATCAAGAAAAAAAAATGTTAGCTACAAATTATTTAACAACAAAGTTCGTTATTAATTTCAACTTTTTATAGTGATAGTTAAGTTAAGTGCTTTTGTGATTTGAAGCACTCCGAGAGCTGTCGAAATTAAGAGGGCGATTTGAGAGGGGAAAGAGTGATAGGGCAAAGTGTGTTTGGAGTGACTTACAGAGTTTTTTAAAGTTATTTCAGGACGACTAAAATTTCAAAGAATCGATTGATGTACATCCCGTTGTACAAAAACAAGGATGATATTTGAAATTGCAACAATCATAGGGGTATGAAACTACTAAGTCACACTACGAAAGTTTGAAAGAGGATGGTTAAGATAAGATTGAAGAGGAATGTGTCTATTTTCGAGAACCAATTCAGATTGGTTCCAGGGTGATCGACAACGAAGTCATTCACCTTTTATGGAGATTGTTGGAGAAGTATAGTGAGAGAAAAAGAGAAGTACTGCATATGATGTTCATCGATCTAGAAAAAGTTTAGACAAAATCTAGAGCGAGGTTTATGGAGATGCTTGGAGTCTAGAGGTGCGTCTGTGGCATACATTAAAGTGATTAAGAATATGCACAATAAAGCCAAGATCCAGACGAGGATAGTGGAGGGATACTCAAAACATTTACCGATCGAGATGAGGTTGCATTAAGAATCATCTCTTAACTCGTTTTTATTTGCCTTGGTGATGAATGAATTGACACGACATATTCAAGAGCAAGAACCATGGCGTATGTTATTTGCAGATGATATAATATTTATCGAGAGAGATAGAACAAAATTAAAGTTGGGTTGGAGATTTAGAGACAAACTCTAGAATCTAAAGGTTTCAAGTTAAGCAGGACTAAAAAGAGTGTACATAAAGTGCAAGTTTAGTGTTGCATGGTAAAGTGAGAATTGATATACAAGTTATCCCATAAGAGAGGAAGCTTCAAGTATCTTTATGTCTATAATCCAAAAATAAAGGAGATCAATAAGGACTTCGCACATTGTACTGTAGCAGGTGGATGAAGTGGGAGATCGCATCCAGTATCCTATGTTATAAAAAGGTCGGTGACACTGAGACTTAAATGTGAGTATAATAGAGTGGTTGTTAGACTGATTATGTTGTATATGGTGGAGTATTGACCAATCAAAAACTCCTATTCAGAAAATAAAATAGTAGAGATGAGGATGCTTAGATGTATGTGTTAGCATACTAACTTACTAAAAGTGACAAGATTAGGATGTGCTCATACCATTATTATTATTATTAGTAGTATGAGCATTACTTTATTCTTCGACTTTATTACTAATGTTATTTCTTTTACTTTGATTATTTTTTCTTATTTTTGCATTTCTTTCAAACCTATTATGAAAAATGATTGTTTAAGCTGAAAATCTATTGAAAACAACCAATTCCCTACCCCACAAAGGTAGGAGTAAGGTCTATGTACTGACCTCATCTTGATCAAACTCCACTTGTGGAACTATACTAGGTATGTTATTATTGTTGATGGTGGTGATAGTTGTTTTTTTCTTTTATTATAAGAGATTAATTTTATGACTTCCATGCAATATTAGAAGTTGGATGATCACTCTTGAAAACAACTCATGGATTATTTTAGTTTTATATCTCTAGAGTTTGTCTTTTAACTTTTAAGGTATCAAGTGGTTATAAAGTTGTTGAGATCTCAAAAATCTAGACTCAATTGTTCAATAACAGGTACAAACAAAATTAAGGTTAATTTTGCAGTAGATATCATAGACCTAATTGAAGATTAAGAGTGTTAATTATAAATTAAAGTACCTGAGCAAGAATTGATATTTCAAGATTAGTAGGACCAAATGGCATGATCCTCATGTCATGGACTGAAAGATGCAATTGCTCCATTTGGACTAGCACTCTTCCCAACATTCCATCTTGTTTGTTGCAATGGATGTTAATAAGTACACTTTTGTGCATAATCCTTACCTTAATCTTGTTTGATCCTAATACTTGTTCCTTATTAGAATCATTATATTCCAAAGCTGATGGTATGTTTTTCTTTGACTCTTCAAGAAGTTTTACTTGTTCTTGAAGCTCTTTCATGTACTCAATAGTATCTCCAAGGATAGATGACTTGTCTAACTATAAAACACATAAAAGATAATCATATTTGTGTATCCAATGATCTATATATTGAAGACTTGTAAGTATAAAATTTATAATAAGAAAATATAATCAAACATAACTCGCATTACTTCACTTCTATACTAATGTCAATGGCGAAGCAGACGTTCAATGTTTACTATATATCTACAAAAAGTAATTTTTAACTAAGATACACTACTATTTTTTTAAGATACACATGAATACAAATATACAATAACAATTTTTGGTATTCAATTGACCCCTTTTATTTATGTAGTTACAACACTGATTAATGCTTAACACCATCCATCTGTATTTTCAAGAACGCAAATGGTTTTTTTTTTGACTAAATAAAATGAAGTTAAAGATTATGGTTTTGTGTTTCTTGTAGAGTTGAAGTTTGCAAAACTTGTCAAAAGTAAGAAAATATAGTCTTTTCACCATTTTCCGCTTCTTTTTTAATTTTAGTTTATGCTTGATTTTTGAAAGAAACATGGAAAATAATTATTACACTAGTATGCCTCTATTTCAAGCATGCTAATCAGTTGACTATATGAATTCCCTCTATCCAGGTATATCTTGCTATTTATATCCGTCGATTCGAAAGCAAAGGCGAAGCTAGGGAGGGGCAACGAGTTCAATTTTATTCTTTTAATATAATAATATATAGATGTCAAATCACTAGGCTTTTTAGTGTTTATTTTTATATTTTAAATTCTTTTAATGAAAATATTGATTCTAATTACAGAAATTAAAGATTGAAAAAAAGAAAAATGCACCACAGTATATTAAGTTTCTGCTATATGGAATCCTAGAAAGAGCCAGATTACAAGAGTCTATTACACAGAGTTTTACCCTGTATTTATGCAAGAGTTTGTTTTCATAAATCACAATTCGAATTTGTGACCTAATGGTCACATACCAATAACTTTACCAGTTACGCTAAAACTAGAAAAATAGAAGATAAAAGGAAATGAAGTTTACCTTCTTAAGACCAGGGACAATCTTTGACAAAGAGATGAAAAGGTCTCCCATTTTTTCTCTTCTCTTCCTCTCCGCAATAACATGATCTTGAGCTTGTAGTGGACTCCTCTTATACATAACATTATTATTATTATTATTATTTTCCCCTAATAATAATGATTCTTGACATGCATTTTCTGAGCTTATCATTGCACCAATATCTTCTTCTTGATTTGAAGAAAATGAAATAAGAAATCCCCCAGAATTAGAGGAAGAATTATTAGAAGAAATTGCTTTTTGACCACTTTTTTCTTCAATATTTGTGGTGTAACCAACTGATGAATTATATATATCTTGGGAAATATTTGGCTTGAACTCAAAGAAGCTCTCATCGTTATAATTACCACTATATTCCATATCCTAAAAGAGAAGTAAACAAAATAAAATTAAAGGATATATATATATATATATATAATAGAAAGCTTGTTAATACTCATATAATTATTTAAGGTTGCATTGATTGACCTTATTGATTATCCAAACAATAATGTAGTACTATTATCTCTTCTTTCTTCTAGAATTTTTTTTCTTTCTAAAATGATGTTCTAATTTTAGTGAAAAACAAACTAATTAGATTTTTCAGGAGATTAAACATTAACACAAGAAATCAAGTACACTCCAATTTTTAAGGGTCTTGAATTTGAGTCTCCGATTTGAAGTCGTAGTGAAAACGTTTTATTCTTCAAAAGGGATTTTTCGACAGAAATCTGAATTAGTTGAATAGAGTATTAGAAGACAACAGATAACGTCAACACAGATCTGTAGAATACAAGAAGAGATAGAAATTTAATGAACTTACTTGAAAAGAGTTGTATAATTGCTTTCCACGATGAAAGACAAGAATGTTGTTCAAGACTTAACCGTGTATACTTCTCAAGAAAGGTATCAAAGGATTAGGTCTCCATTGAATAGCTCACTACCACCCCACCCTCCAAAAAAAAAAATTAAAAAAAGATGAATAGAAATAATATTGATTATTTTTTCCAAGTGTCCAATTAAAGTAATATCTATTTTATATATTTATACCACGTGTGAAAAGCTGTCATCTTTTCATCCTCACTAATTCAATTAATTAAATAATGTATTAATTAATCAATTTTAGTAATAACTCATCATGAACATAAATTAAGTCAAAGAGGCCTCTTCCATTTCCTCCACATTTAAACATCTTCCAGAACCTTTACCCTAAATATGTCAAAGTTTTCTAGTCCATCCACATTTGAAAAATGTTCATTCTTTCTTTAGGGTGTTTGAAAGAAGGAAAATATAGAAAGAGAAATTGTATACTGTCCAATTTTATTTTATTTTTGTTTGATTTTGATTTGGCGTGAAGTTTAGGAAAGTAAACTAGACTTTTGAATTTTGTAGCTACAAATTAAAGATATGTATATCAAAATTAATTAAATCGTGTAACCTTAAACATGTCATGTAGAAAGATGAAAATAAAGAGTGGTCAAAAAAGGAAAGAGCCTTCATTTTGAAATGGACTAAAAAAAAAAAAAGAGATAAATAAATTGAAACGGAATATGTGATATTCCTTTCCTTCTTTATCTTGTGGCATTAAACATGTCAGGTGGAAAGATAGAATGAAAAAGTTATCAAAAAATGATAGAGATATTCATTCTGAATTACAGACCAGACTAAAAAAAAGACAAATAAATTGAAACAAATGCAATATTTCTTTCCTTTTTTCTTTGGGTTGGGTGGGGGTGGGGTATTTGTCTTTCTTCTATAGGAAAACAAACTTTATGCTTGTTTTAATTATGCAATCAATAAAAAAGAATACTTTAACTTTTCCATACATTTTACAAAACAAAATAAAATAAAATAGGGTACTAATATTCGTAAGCTTTTCCTTTCGGTTGACTAATCTAGATATTTATGTCTGAAAATTTAACTTTAATTTGAAGGTAATATACTTTCTATCAGAGCAATTTCATATCATAACATTTTCCTTTAATTAGAGTTGCCTAAATTTTGAAATGATTAGTTAGGATTCAACTTGCTAAAACAAATTAAATTTGCTTAAGATAAGATCATCAGATCTTTTCTAAATCTTAGATAATGTAACATACTAAAGGAATAGTTCTAAGTTTCATTTTTTTAATTTGAAGTCCTATTTGAAATTTTGTAACCTACGTACGTATAATGCCATTTGAAGTTGGTGTATTTAATTTATTGATAAGGTTGAGCAGGTGATTAATATCTTTATAGAGATTCATCTCAAATTAAATTTACAAAATAAAACATGCAAGGGAAATGACGAATCTTATTTAGTGAAGGGGGTTAGGAGGGTGTGGGGGTTATACTTCATTTGTTTTAATTTATGCGTCTTAATTATTATTTGAAGAGTAAAAAAAATATTTTTTTTGATCAAATTTGCTTAAATGTTTTAAATTATCAACTATTTTAACAATTATAGTATTTTAAAATAATTTTAATTATGTAAATTTTATTTCAAAAAATTATAAGGATTATATCACATTTCTCGTACTTTGAATTAAGGCATGTAAGTTGAAACATCAAGAATATGATCATATAGCTAGTGATCAAGGAATGAACGAAATATCAACTAGAACTTAACTAATAATACTCCTTTCGTTCATTTTTACTTGTTCACTTTGAAATTTACATGACTCGTAAAAAATAAAATTAATGAGGTAAAGACCGACCATGTTGCAAGTCGTTTTGCGTCTAGAAGCCCATATTGTCTTGTCGGGGAACTTGCTTAGCTGGGACATACACACTCAATTGAAATTTCTTTCACATAATTAATGCTATTTTCCGTACATGTGTAGTTTGTCTTTGAAATAATTAAGAAAAAATAAATGAATTTTACAGAAAAGAAGAAGAATTTTATCTTAATTACCTTTTCATTCTTATAGAAAATACATATGACTTTCTCTCCACAGTAGCCTTTTCAAATTAGACAATTCAAACTAGTCTGGTGGGCACAACATTATGTTAGGATTTGCCTTGTATATTTTATATTATTTATATTTTATCGTAATTGTATTTTACTTTAAAAAAGATTCTAGGTGAAAAAAGACTTTCATATTTTGTTTTTATTGCGCGGTGATGTTTTACACTTTTATAAATTCAGGATTTTTTTTAAATCTTTTTGAGACAAAATAAATAAATACAATAACATCTAATATATAGTACTCATTAAAGAGTCTTATTTAGGGGAATGCTATTTCTCATGAAAATGATCTCTTATGAGTTATGATCATGGAAGAAGATGGTTTTTAATATTACTAAAAATAAAGATATTTTATGTATAAAAAGTGAAAAACTAAAAGGGACATAAAACTAAAAACAAGTTTGTAAAGGATTATTAATATCATATCAAAATATTATACTTGTGTTTTCAATATAGTTTTCTTTGTCGCTTGATTTATTATTGTTTAAATTTTGTGATTAGCAATATTTGACATTTTGTTATTTCGATCCCAACAAATTAAGGTCCGGCAAGACACCATACTTTTCTGTTTCTATTAGATCTGTTCGTTTCGAGTAATGTGGATCTCTATGCATCCAACCATGTTTTATTCAGGTTATTTAACATACATAATATACTGATTTAATTCATTTTCCCAAGACATTATTTAGCTTAGTAATATTATTTTTTTGTATTTATCGAGTTTGCAACCCACTAGGGCAATTCATTTTTAGCACGTTGATAAATAGGACTATAGGAGTAACGTGGCCAATTAAATCTCGAAAAACGTATTAAATTAGTACTATAATATTCATTGTGCTTGGTGAAACAGGACACAGGTTTTAGGGGATGTAAACTAGAATTTGTTTCTTCACATTGTTTTTGGTGAATCTATCGTTTAAAGGTTTGGATTCTATCATTGTAAAATCAATGGCAAAGTTAAAAATTTCACCACATATGACTACGGCGCTGCGTAAAACTTTGTTTTGTTTATGCATATTTTTGCTCCAGATTTAAAAAAAGTATTTTCATCAGACAGGTACTAGCTGCATTTTAGTAAAGATAAGTCAAAATCACACAATTTATGCAATGTTTGAAAAGATGAATTACGCTTTTTGTTCTTTTTTGTAAAAACGAAGTTTGATTTATTTTTTAATTCAATTCAATTGTGGTTGTTTCCTTTTTCTATGAAACAGAATAGAAAAACCCAAAGTATTATTGATTAACAATTGGACCTGAATCGTCACATGTATTATTGATTAATTCTTGCAAATAATATTGGTCTCAAAACCTCAATCGATAAACTATAATAGTGTCTCATAAAAAAGAATTTCATAGTTAAGCAAAATGTCAATACAACAAAAGATTCTCGACTCAAAAGAAAATATTATATAGTTCCAACAGTACATATATACGTTGTTATCCATATTAATAGTACAAATTAAAGCATGAATTCAATCAAAGAATTCGTTTAACATTAACACATTCGTCCCAATTGGAGTAACCTTGAACATATTTAAAATCGAATTTAGTCTTGTGTCGAGTCTTGTATGGTAAGAAGATGTAATTCAAACGCCTTTTCAACATCCTGCACTTTAATATCAACATTCTCATCAATCTGCAAGGATATAATGAATGTCATCATTAGTATTAGAAAGTATCTTTAATTTGACAAAAGTATGATAACACACGTCTCAGGTTCAAAATTCAGTGGAGATAAAATAAACACCAGGCAATTCTATTCATATGTTCTAGCTTTGGTGGACAAAGTTACCTGATAGGAGGTGACACGTATCCCGTGGAATCAGTCTAAAATACGGAAAAGCTGACCCGGACACCACAGTCATAAAAAAAAAGTATGATAATTATAAATTAAAGAATGAGAAATAATAATTACCTCAGCAAGAATGGAGATATAATGAAGAGATGTGTGATTGGATGGGGAAACTCTAATGTGGTGAATAGTAAGATGTAAGTTTTCCATTATTCCAGCAATAATTGAGAAAATACTCCTCATTTGCTTATAGCAATGGATTCCTATGAGTACATTTTTGTCCAGAATTTGAACCTTTATATCATTAATATCCTCATGTCTTTTGGATTCAAGATCATCAACATGATCATCATGAGAATATTGTTTGTGTACTAGTGTGGCATGAGTTGTTTCAATTAAGTTCGTACTACTTTTTATCGTCCGAGCAGCTTCCTCTAAAGAACTAACACGTCCTTGAAGTTCTCCTATGTACTTTATAGCATCTTCAAGAATTGAAGCTTTGTCCAACTGCATCATCATAACCAATACAAAGATATTTCATGTTAGGTTAGTAGAGATGGAAGAAATAAACTAATTAATTACTCTCGGTGTCCCAGTTTATGTGATGCACTTTCTTTTAGGACAACATAATTAAAGCATTACAAGTCCATTATTATTCACAGTATAAGACTACCATAATAATGATATATATATATATATATATATATATATATATTTTGGAATCTCGGAGGAAACTATTTTTGGATATGCATTGGGTAAACCCGTTATTATGTAATAGCTTATAAACCACACAGGAAATGTAAGTACACTAGACAAGTCTAATGCAACGAACTCGACTGAAAAAAAGTATAAATTAGTCTCTAATCTCCCTAATAAAATACCATATGCTCCACCAATTCACCCATCCTTACAATTATCATAACTATACTAACAATGTGAATGTATTTTAAATCTTATTGGAAATATGAGTCCATCCATAATGGATACTCTTATAAAGAATCCACTAGCTAAAATAAGTACAATAATACATTATATGTCAAATTAGACTTTGAGCTTAACTTACACCCAAAAATTAGCTCAAAGGGAGAAGGATTGCTCGAGCCTTAAAAAAAAATCTCTCAATCATATGAGGATTCACTCCATTCATCAAATAGAACTTTCAACCGGTCAGTTGTTTTCCACACTCTCTTCTCTACCGCATAAAGCTAGATTACACTTGAGAATGTGGTATCATCAATATGTTAGTCAAGAGCGAAACCCTAAATCTCAAACTGAAAAAGATTATATTTGACACTAATTAACAACAGTATCAGGAATGCAAATGTGTATATCACCCACTATCTCAGAGAAGTCAATCAAGTGACGACGAAGGCAATAGGCGTCACTGAACTAGGTACTTTCCGACCAATTGCCCAAACTCCAACCAGTTTTTTTTAAGATGTCTGTTGCGGATGTTTCCTATGATTTACGGGCGAGAGAAGAGAGCATCACATCAAGTCAATATCAATAGAAAGAGCTGCTTCTAACTAATTCTGTCTAAGCCTTGAATGAACTACATTCTCTTCTATCCCTTTCCTGAACTACGGACTTGCTTGCTAAATTGGCATCTACGAGTGGAATTGAATCCTAATATCTTCTCTACATCCTTTTCCAAGAAATGTTAAAGGTTCAATTCAACTAGATAAATAATAATTTCCATTTTTAAGAAAAAAATATGAGAAATGTCTTCTTCTTTTTTTGTTAGTTAAGGATTATACATCTTATTAGGAAGAAAGAATATTGCATAAATTAATCCTTTCTTTTAGTTTTGTGATCAAACTAGGTAACTCCTTTCTATGTTAGAGGTTTGGTTCATGCCCCTTCTAACTTTATACCTTTTTTGTGGATGAATAGATCTGATAGGGGTCAAGCCTAAACCCCTCACATCAAGGCTCACAACCATTTAGTGCTCTCTTATAGGGGAAAAGGGAAAAAAGATTATGATATAGGAATTGGTAACTCCTATAAGACTCAAACATGATAAAAACAAAAAAAATTATACTTAGCTTTATAGGTATAGTTCTTTTGCGAGGGTTGAAATATCTATGTTCTTTTTGTGAAAGATAAAAGTTTATCCTTATGTTATATTCAAAAGTATAGTTTGAAATGAGAAATTTGAAATTTGAAATTACAACATACCTTCTTGAGTTGCGGTATAGCTTTAGCCAAGAGAGCAAAAAGTTGGGAGAACCTTTCACGACGTTTCCTTTCAGCCAAAAGATGATCTTGAGATTGCAAAGGACTTCTACATATCCTCTTAGCCGCCATTGATGAATTAGATATACTGTTGCTCATCATCACTTTTTCCGTTATCATATCATAATTTAATTCATTATCCTCTAAGAAAAAAGAATCAGCTACAGGAACATTAATATTCCCAAATGAAATAATATTCTGCGATGAAGACGATGAATTAGATGAAGGAGAAGAACAAGAAAATGCAATTTTAGGAATATTTTCTAATGAATTGGAAGTACTTGGATTTTGATTAGGTAAAGATGTGAACATTTCAGAAAGTAGATTCTTAAATTCAAATGGTGCTTCTTCATTATCATTTGTGGTGTTATTGTTATTATTGAACCTTGTATTTTCCATGGTTAACAAATTTGAAATTTTTAGTTTTAATTTCTAACTCAATTAATTGTTTTCTTGTTATATAGTGGACTATAAGAAAGTCACGTGTGAGCAGTAGTATTTGTTATGGAAATCGTGGTGTTATTATATTATACGTTTTATTAGTACATATTTTAGTAGTATAACAACTATAAGTTTTTCTTGCTTTACATGCTGTGATTAAAAGAGAGAGTTGAGGGGATGAAAGGTGAGGATATTTTTAAAAATTTGTTTGTTGATTTAGTGTATAAAAAATTATTTACAAAGATATCAGCTAACAATATTAGGACTGTACCTATCTTGAGTTGAATATTTGGTTACATAATTCTTGGTGTCATTTCACATTCCCCATAATATAATACATTATTAATACTCTCTTTGTCTCAATTTATGTGACGTTGTTTGACTTGATGCAAAGTTTAAAAAAGAAATAAAGATTTTGAAATTGTGGTTTAATATAAGTATAAATGTTTGTGGGCCTATAAATCATCTTATTATTTTTACTTATTTTTTTAGCGTTTGGGTTGTAAGCAAAAAATATTTTCTTAAGTAATTGTGTATAATCTAGAGAAATACTATGAAGTATAAGAATATAATATAATTAGAAAAACATACTAATTTTTATCTTGAATTCTTGAAGTAACACTCAGAGGCGCGGAGTTAGGATTAGGAGTTTGGGAGTTCTAAATTTTAGGATAAACAGAAGAATATTGCAAAACATGCTTCCTTTTTTCCTAAAAAAGGAAAGAGAAACTTCATTTTCATTGCCCTAATGTCTATGGAAAAACTAGTAGTTTGTCCGAACCGCACTTATTTTGAGACAATTTTTTGTTTTGTTATTGCTAAGATATAGTACTTATTTTAAAATGGAAAAAGTATTTCTATTTTTTCCTCTCTTAAGAATTCACAACAGCTCTATTTGTTAAAAACAGATTCAGTAGCTCCATCAAATTAAATAGATACGTAGATATATACGGTATCTGAATGTAGATAACATGTCGGATTTTTTCCAAGATTTTTATTATTTTTAAGATTTAATTTGTTTGTTTATCTATTTTTTTTTAGATGAATATGGTTGTAATGATCTTCTACAGGATCCATAACTCATTTATTAATGTTATTGTTATTTCTTGGATTATCGTTTCATTTCCGTATGGAATCATGTCCTTTAATTATCCTTCTAATTAACAACTCCTTTTGACTTGAAAAATTCTGATATCTAATTGGTTGATATTAAGAACTAATTAAGTTATTTAATTATCTTCCTTTCTTAGTCCTTTTAATTTCTTGTAAACACTCATATTTACATAATCAAATTCTTTATAAAGTTATTATTTCTAATATATGCATTAAAAACTCATGACCTGACCAACATGGGTTGTGGTGCAGTAGTGGTACTGGTACTGCTTCACCCTTAACCAGAGATCTCGAATTCAAGTTCGGGATATAAAGAAAATCTTATTGGGAGTGTCAGCTCCGAATGGGCCTGCAGTGCGCAGTCCCGATTTAATCGGAGCTCCAAGCTTTGAATACCGGGTGGAAAATTAAAAAAAATCATGACCTGATAAAATTAACAACTAATGGATGTTATAATAGGTTAAACTTCCAACAATGCAAATAATCTTTTTACTGAACGTGAGAATAGTATCTGCATAAATGTAAGGTATGATTGTGTATATAATACTCTTATAATTCAACATTTTTTTAAATCCCGCACATAGTGGAAGTTTAGTGCACCAATATACCTTAAATTTGCCAAAATAGGTTTGAAGCAATCTTAAACAATTTATAGGATAGAGACGCAATTTCAAACCTTAATTATTTTCTTATGATTCGCAGCAATTTTTTTCTATTTTCATATTAATTTCTTTCATCTTAAACATTAGAAATTATTTAATCAAGGATATGCAAAATCTGCATTCTTCTATATATGACAATAATCTAATCTTTGTAATCTTTGAAGTATTTTAGATAGCGCGTTCTTGCATAGTTGCATTGCATCTAATTTAAGTACCTCCCATTGATAATATAATAGTATTACTTTAATTTCTAAATTGAAAACTTGACCAAAATTTGCATTCCATTGAAGTTGATTCCTTTTCCATTACTTGGTTTTTGTAAGTTGAATAAGATCTTGATCTTGTTTACCATTGAGCTTAAAAGTGTGTGTACTATGTAAATTTACGTTTTACTTTATAAAGGAATTCAACTTTCTTTCTCATTGCAATATGAAGTTCAATCGAAGTAGTATGTGCACCCCTTCTTCACACCTTGTCCGTCTAGATATATATATATATCAATATATCCTTTACTTAACCCGGCTGCGATGGTCTGCCCTCCGAGAGTCACATACATCACCCTTATTATTTGAATTTTGATATATAACTCCATTATATCATTTACTCATTTTGTTTATCCTTATTTATTCACCCTGAACGTTGCATTTTTTTTAAGAAATAATAAATAAAGTATATATTTTACTATAAAATTCATATTAATAGTTGTTAATTTCAATGGACTTAGAAGATAGTTCAGGGAATGATCGTAGTTAATGTCAAGGATGATTTTTGTTTTTTCTCTTGATATTTTAAGTAGGCAAATAAAAATAAAAATTTACTATTTATTTTTAATATAGCGAATAAATAAAATAATTGAGAGAGTGCCGTAATTAGTGTGTTCATATTACAACATGAGGTGAGAGAATATTTCGAGCATTGGAATGCAATCTAATTAAACGTGGTTTCCATGAATTAATATCAACATATCTTACGGAAGTTTTGAAGACCTATCCTAGAAAAATTATGTTAAATAAGTAGTAAACGTATTGTGAAGATTCTATAGTTTTTGGATAAGACAAAATAATTAATATTATAATTCAGTGTAAGATTTTTCTTGTTCACTCCCTTTTAATTTTCATGCCCTTATCCAATTTTAATAACTTTAAATATTTGTGACGTCTCTTGAACAATCGAAAATGTGAATGGAACGGGAGTGTTTGAGATACATAGAGACGACGATGGGCACGGTGGGTTGAGCTTAACTCGCAAAAATTTTAACTCGTTCCTTGTATAGATCTGTCCCGCATAAATTTTTGAATATTTGTCTTTTTAATTAAGTTTGATACTAAAAATAAATTTCATAAACATAAATTCATTTTCTCATTAAGTTGTATTAATTTAATAGATAATAACTTAAATTTTATTTTTTAAAGGTCAATTGGGAAACATTTTCATTTACTATCTTGAATATTTTAGTAACTTTAAAGAAATCATCTTAATAAATTATGATTTATCACTCTTATAACATGTAAAAAAATAAAATTAATTTGTAGTCTCAATAAAACCGCATAGACCCGCAATCCGCCCCACATTAATTTTTAGAAAAACCCACTTCAACCCACCCTGCATCCTGTCTGCCCTTTCCTACATAGACTTAAAACCATCCCGCCCCGCCCCATTACCATCCATAGAGATGCAGGTGCATCCTCTAGTGAAGCATAATATTAGGGACAAAGGCATATCCAAGATTTAAAATTATGGATTTATATCTACTATTTATTGCAAACTTTGAATTTTTTTTACATATAAATTATACTCTGCATCGAAAGTATTAGCTTTAGACGGCTCGGTGTCGGCATGCTACATATGCATCTGATTAGGGAGTGAAATGCCCGGAATAAGAATGTTCATTCTCAACAGTTCAAGTGAGTTAGATTAATACAATTCAAATAAAATCACAATTGTGCTACAACATTAAGCACAAGTAGGGGTTAATTAATCCTTTCTGTTTCCCCTAACAAGAGTTCAGCAGAGGAAGTTGAAGGGAGATATTGGCAACGCAATGCTTGAACGCTACGCATTAGAAAAAGGATATGATACATCTCAACTTGTCCTATCTGACTTCATCAACTATATATCGTTTTTCAATTTACACGAGTGCGCCTGTGCATGTTGATAAAAGAGCATGTAAACTCTACTTGGTTAGGGCACAAATAATTCTGCTTACTCAATGTCTTTTACAGCGTCCTGCATTGGTGAAGAACAAGTAAGTTACAACTGATTGATCATAAAATACAGATCGATCTTTCATGACAGAGATCAAGGATATACAAGTATCAAAATACACTAGGTTCAGTATGAGCATAGTGTAATAGGAAATGATCAGTGTTACCTTAGCGAGCCGTGTTACATAAGTTGCAGCAAATGCTGTAAACAATAAACCAACTCCAAGGGTCAATAGCTGGTTTCCTCCTAGGCCGATTTCAGATCCTTCTTGCTGGAACATCAAGAAATATAAGTTCATTGACGGAGTTGCTGAATTTCTTGTGAGTTATTAGTTTATTATTTAAGTTCGAAGCTTCCCAAATTAACAGAACTTTAAATATTCTAACATCAAGGATGGAAAGGCAACAACTTACAATATCTCAATTTGAACAAAGTAGGAACATATGAATGGTTGTAAAGCTAATCAATAGTACTGAAAAAGGAATGTCTCAATTTGGGTCTCACATGCCCAATACCCTACTTTTGTTTTCATAGTCCATAAGAATCAAATCAGAATAGTTGGCAGGTACTTAATCTCGACCGTGTTAGCTTGTCATGAATAAAACATAACGTCCTTTTTCCTTCTTTTTTTGATAATCATGGTGCTGGGGCTAGCTTGCACGCACCTCGACCAATTTCATGGGTACCTACCTACACAGATACCAGGTAACTTTGTCCACCAAGACTTAGCAAGATGGGGAGGAATCACCTAATGTTTTTGCCTCCACTAGGCAAGTGTCAGTCAACCAAGCAGAGCAAGTAATGTTTCTAGTTGAGAAAAACAACGATAAATTGGCAAGAGTACACTTCTGAAGCAATTTCAAATGTTATATACTCTGCCTACTTCTCTTAACAAGAAAATGCAATCCTAATTTCAGCAGGACTGGAAGAATAAAATCACAGAAATAATGACTGATTATAAGAAGAGACAAAGATTACACAGATAAGTGAACAAGATAAACAAGTGGCAAACTCACAAGAATTGCACGGCCAAATGCACCTGCACTCACGTAAGCCCATGATCCAGGAAGCATTCCAAGCCAACTGCATACAAAACATAAGATTTTATCAATATGAAGAGCATGCCTGACAAGTGAATCAACAAGTCCTCAAAAAGCAAAAGTACATTTGCCACAAAATGAAGTTATCATATACTCGCACTCTTGGATAGCTATGGCATCGCACTACCCTCAACCAATCCCTCATATCTAAAAAAAAAGAAATCTGAAGGAGAGGCTACTTCCACAAATCTAGAATCTAGATTGCAAACAAATCCTTACTACATTGTTCAACAAAACAGCTTTGCTAATGCTAAATATCACCCAAGGTGATCAAAGACTGTAAAAAAGAGTTTGATATCACTATACAAAACAGAAAACAGGCATGTAAAAGACACAGCCTGTTCTTCTTCTCCCCACAATTTAGGTTTTTCTTTTTTTTTGGCGCTTGTAATTGATCACGTAATGGACAGCTCATTTGTATCACCAGATAGCACATACCATATGATAGCTGTTACCTTGGAATTTCCACCTCAAAAACATCTCTCTGACAACAAATAAATGCCTAAGTGACTGAAAGGCCTGATATCAAATTACGCAATTCATGCAAAATTTTAGCACTGAGGTATTCCTTTCTATATGCATATGTTAAGATACATTTTCACATGAATACAAACATGCAACGGCAAATAAGGAGAAAAGAATCCGAATTCTTCCAAATCCTAGAAAATGAACTTCATCCTCGAAGTGAACCCAAAACACAGAAATTTAGACATCTGAACATTAGCCTAAAGGTGAAGAAGGAAGTGAAAATAGAAAATGAGACTCACCTTCCTAGAACATATGGTACAAACTCGACTGAAGTAAGTCCATAAAGATAATTCCCAAGAGAAAATGGAAGCAAAGGGCTCAAACGGAGAAGAGTAACAACTTTGAAACCATTTTCTCCAATTGCTTTGTCTATTGCGAGAAATTTCTTGTTCCCTTCGACCAGCTTAAGAATACGTTCACGAGCAAAATATCTGGCAATCAAGAACGCAACACTTGCCGCCACCTGAGTGCATATCACACTATTGAGAACACATTGTACATCATCGTGGCTATATTGAACGGAATGATCAGCTTACCGTTCCACCAATGGAAACAATGATGGTCCCAGTGACAGTGCCAAATAGAAGACCAGCCGACATGGTCAACGGAATGGCAGGTATTGCAAGGATCTATATCAGAAGTGTAATATTGAAAGTCAGTTCCATATAGAAACTCTAAAAGTTTCACTTATTGAGCTAGGCACATTTAATCTATTATGAATAAGAACTAGAACATTGGTCAAGCAAAAGCCCAAGAAACTTGACTGAAAATACATTAGTTTCACTTTCTGACAAAATAAGAATATTAACTCTTGCTACTTCATGTTAGTTCATAGTATAAGCCCTTTATGAGTATCTTCTGAAGTACAAAACTTAGGCATGCACAACCTAGTATGATGGAGCCAGACCAGAAAATACACCATATTTTATGTCCACAAAAAGCTTTTCCAACTAGACAACATTATACCCTTAACAAGTACATCGCTGCAGCTTCTTGAAATATTTTAAACCAAGGAAACAGAGTTTAATTCTTACTTCTAGTCCAGCATAAACTGCAACAAAAAGAGCATATCCAGCTGGCCCATAACCTGCCATGTGAGGAGCCTCAATCAAAATGAATTCATAAAAGTATACTCACATGATAAATCTTGAAAATCATTGCATTCTTTATTCATTTGGCTTACAAGTTTCTCAGTTTTGTTTAAAATTTCCACCAAACTGAATTGTGTGAGATAATTGTATTACGAAGCAAACTAGCACCAAAAAAGCCACATGGAACACAAATCAGTTCAAACAGGTCTACAAGATAAAGAAACCTTGAGCTTGGCAAGCGGTAATACTTGTTTGGAAATGCTATTTCACCAATTATTGACACATGAGGAGGAGACAGGAAAACACAAGGAGGAAAAAAGTAGATGTTCGCCAAATAGTTTTGTTTTATCCAAGACAAGAAGACCGTGTCAGGTTAGGCAACAACTACATGATTGGTGCATCATTCTAGCAGTAATATGGAAATACCAAAGAAAAAGAGCCACGAGCCCAAGAGTCAAATAGATTCATATTTTCGCATAAAATTTTCTAATTAGAAATTTATGGTCATTCACCAAAAAGAAGCTTTCAACTCCCATTTAGATTAAGTGTATACTTGTGAGATTTGTCATGTAGGACGTGTGTGTCTACTTGTTCGACTTTATGATAGATTAAGTGTCTACTTGTGTGATGTCAATTGAAGTCGAGTCAAATGACATATTTATGTATTGCGCCTAATTGTTAACCCTCAATTGAGTGGAATGACTATTGATATAGTGGAAGCCAATCGATTCGGGGATCAAAGCACAGTTTGTTAATTGATTGAACTATTAACCAATAGAACTATCTAAACATATCTTATACATTACAAGTTTATGTAGTCTACTTAGAATCCAAATTCTAATGTCCACAAGCAAGTATGGAAACCAAATTGGATAAGTCATATGAGATTACCTTCAATAATGCCAGAAAACTGGTTCAAGAAAACATTAATCTGGTCCTTGTATATGTACCCAACAGTTCCAAATCCACCAATCACACCCACAATCAAAAGACCAGCCAAAATGGTACCTTTAATAGCAGTATCATCATCTCCTGACCCACTATCCCTCTCACTCGCACCATCATCATTTTTGGGGTTCAAGTTAAGCAATCTCCTGAAACTCTGAGGAGATTTGTTTGGTGTCTTCAAAAGGGTCTGCTGTTTCTTGGTTTCCTTTAGGGAAGAACATGGTTTCAAGAAATGAAATCGTTTGGGTTTGAAACTATACAAAAACGAATTAACAGATGAATTTGTAAGGGAAAATTGAATCTTGGGTCCTTGTTGAAAAGAAGGAAAAAGAGTGACACATAAAGGTGTTCTGCTTAAATCAATGGTGGGCATTTCAGAGGATAAAGGGGGAACTGGAAAGCTGCTTCTTTTTTTCTTTTTTTTTCTCTTATGTTCTAAGGTTGTGCTGAGTTAATTCAAACTGTTTTGAGGACTGCTATCAATTGTGAAATTTGTGTTGGGTGTTCCATCAAAGAATGGAACTTTGTAGAATCTACTGTTATTCTATGCTTTGATTCCAAAAGAAGATTTGTGATATGAGGATGAACGAAATTGACTATTGGCGATTGAATAAAATCTGTGCTTCTTGTTGAAGCACGTGCTCTACCCTATCACCATGTCAAAAGACTATATGAATAGGTTTATACCGAGACAATACTGGACTACCTACTATCATTTTACCCTACTATCATTTGTAAGTTGAAGATGTGTCATATTCTATCTAATTATCTTTTTCAAATACTTCTTCTGTCTACTTCTAACTCTTTTCATCCCCACTATATCCGACTACTCACACCTTTTCATTGAGTCATCTACACATCTCCTCTTCACATGGGCAAACCATCTCAACCTCCCCTTCCCTCGTTTAATCCACCAAGAGGTCACTCTCACTTTATCCCGGTTATTACTATTCCTAATCTCAATATCATCATTTTTGCTACTATATCTATTTTTAAATAGAAGTTCTTAACTAAGCAGCACTTCATCTCATACAATAAAATTGATTTAACTACTAGACGTATAAAATATCTTAAATTATATTTTTTTTGCCAAATATCTTAAATTTGTATTTATTACAATGGTCCTTTTACCTTTTCCAAATTTACAATTGGCGCGAATAAAATAGGTAACTGAAAATTGTTTAGAGATTCAAAAGTCACTAAAAAAGTAAAAATAGCTAAGTTTTCACTTATTTAAGTTCGAAAGCCATTTCACCATATTTCCACATCAAAAGTAACTACCTTTTAAATAAAATTTCAAATAGTGACTATTATTTAAAACTCGGTTCAAAGAGTGGCTTATCCGTATAAACTATTACCACAACAAAATGGTTTGGTCAGTTGGAAGACCCAGGCCCAAATGGCCCAAAAATTGGAGGACGGGATGTACATAAACCAACTCAGTATATTCAAATGCTGAAATAACAAAAAATCTGAAAGATCAGTTATGAATCGAGGATTCAGAGATTCGACGCCATTTTCAAATCCTGCAAGCTTATCGACTTCATGTACCATCTCATTTCCACTTTTTCAACGAATTTTTGTTTGTTTTACATAAGATCAGCAATTCACTCTGCTTCAAAATTGCTATTTACAGTGTGTTGTTATAAATTTGATGTGATTGTATGAAGAATGATGACTCACTTTGTGTTACGACGAGTTTCAGTTTTTCATTTTTCTGTGTTTATTTCGAATTTTGAAGGAGTTAAGTCTGTAATTTACTCAGTTCTGAATTCTGAATTTTTGGAATTTGATTAACGTACTTGAAGTAGATTTTTGTGTATTACTCTGTTTTCGTGAAAGTTTTTTAGTTCAATTTGTTTGATTAAAACTTAAAATGCATTTCAAGCATTGAGTTTCGGATTTTGAAGGAAAAAGTTTGTAATTTACTCGGTTCTGAATTTTTGGAGTTTGATTTAACGTACTCGTAGTAGATTTTTGAGTATTTACTCTAATTTTTTATGTCAATTTTGTTTGATTAAAACCTAAAATGCATCTCAAGCATGTGAATTTGAATTTTATTTAGCCTGTTATAGAAGTCAAGAGTGGCTTACCATTCCCCTATCTGCTGCTAAATTTGATTAGTGTTTAGTTCGCGAGGTGATGGATCAGATTTTAGTTCTAAATCTCAAATTATCTGTAAGGTTACTTTGTGCTTGATGTTTCTGGGAGTATAAGTGGAGTAGTCAGATTTTCTTGTGACTGGTTTGTTCATCTGAGTTCCTACTGCTCAAGGTAATGCACTTTTATGTTTGAACGTGTGATATGCAGATTTTGGTGACTTGATAAACATCGCGAACAATCGTGTTTTATGCATTATTTGATGTGTGTGTTGTATTGATCATTATCATGAATGTTTAGTAATTTTTAGATGACAAATATTTTGACAATTTATATTAACAAATTGCTTGAATGACTTCATTTGCTTATCCTTAGCTTTGAATGATTAAGATCTACAGTTCTCCTGTATGGAAGAAAATTTATCTGCTCACTTGCTTGTTCTGTGTTATACACTATTTTATACTTTTTCTGTCTCTAGTGTTTAGGAGAATCAGTAATGTACTCTCAAATAAGTTCTTTACAAGGTTTTTGCAGTTCTTATCTCTAGGAACAGTATTTTCAGCATTTGTTTTGCTTTTGATAAACAATATTTCCAGATATATTAACTGTTCTAGATTGCCATTTCAAAGGAACAATTGCACTGCACCTCCAAAGCAAATGAAATGCATTACCATTGACCATCAACTCTTGCAGATAGCAGTGGCGTTTGTATGATGAGTAGCACATGGAGGGATGAACAACACCCTTCCTTTCTCAATTTCATCTCTTGCTTTCTCAAGGAAAATTCTTTCCGTTTAAATATTGTGCCAATTGCACCGGTAAAACTACTCTTGTCAGCTGTCTTGGTCTTCATATAAATTCTTTCTTTAGCTAATGGAAGTAATAACATTTCCGATTTACAGGATTTTATCTTTAACTGCGGTGGTTTGTCGGTAGCTTTCATGTTTCTGACCAATTGGGATGGTGTCGATACAGAATCTTTCTATAGAAAGTAAACATGCCGTATATCTCTCAAACTCCAGTTTCACTTGATCTAAAATTGATAAGATTGTGAATTGATGTAGAGTTCAGAAATTGAAGGAGCAGTTTGCAAACTTCTATGTTGTTATCACCCTTCCTACAAAGGAACAGAATGATTCTTTGATACACTCCTATATCAAGTGAGTCAATTTTAACTTCACCTTCAATTGCATTCTGTATATCAAACTGGTGCTTATTTGAAGAACTAGGATAATCTCTTTATCTTTCTGAAGGTATGGAGTGCAACTTGGAAGGCCAACATTTGTTCCTGTTCGAGATCTGGAGATGGGCTTCGAAAAAATTGTGAAGATAGCACATGCTCGTGGGGGTAAGATGGCAGTTCTCTCAAGCTAAACAAATGAAACTTAAATATATAATTTACCTCCAAAATATCTGTTGCAGCATGCAAACGCCAGGATGCATTGGCAAAAATAAAAGCTGAGGTAGATGGTTGAACAGCTTCCCCAATCTCTTCTGACTAATCACTTGATTTTTTTCTAAAACTGAGAGATTTTGTCTTGCTGTTAGAAGGAAAAATCAGTACAGGCCATGGAGATTTACCTACAAGTGGTTACATCTATACCTGGGGTTGACAGCCATGGCGCAAATGTGGTAATTTATTTAGTGATATTTCCGAGTTGTGTTGCATCAGATTTGTTACCTTTTCCTGTTCATAGCATGTGCTTTAAAGAATGATAGAAGTGCACATCATCAATTTCATGCATTTAGTCCTCGACTCACTCTCTTTTCTTTCGTCTGTTTCAGCTTAATCAAACTATTGGTTCAATTGAAGCAATAGCTAAGTCGTCAAAGGAGTACCTTCAGGAAACTACTGATCTTTCACCTACAACAGCTGAGACAATCACAAGGTTTTTCCGGGATCCAAAGTTTTATCTTGCTCCTAAAATTGGCTGATTTATACTGTTTAGTCTAGAGCGTTCAGAGTCATGCACTCTGCAACAACTTATCTCAAGAACTACAAATGGAAGTCGAACAAACTTTATTCCCTGGAAATGTAGCTTGAAGTCCTGTGGTAGTGCTTCTGTATCAGTAGTTGTAACTTGATTAGAGGACTCAAAAAGAAATCACAAGGCTCTTAAAAGCTTACTTCTCTTGCTTAATGAAATATGAAGGTATATTTGTATTAAGTTGATCTAAGTTCACTGAGGTCCTTTTAAGGAATATCAGAATTTCGTCTACATTGATGTTTGAGTTCTTCTATCTTGTTTCAACATCTGGTCCTTCATATGGCTAAATCTCATGAAGAAACTTGTTTTAATGGAAGGTTTCAGCATTTAAGATATAGTTTCAATGATGCTGAATGATCATCTACAACGTAAAAACTGCTTCACTTTCGGTTCTCTTCTTTTTAACGTAGTAAAGCTCTGAAATCTGAGGTGAATTCCAATAGTTATAAAGGAAAAAGAAAGCTTGAACAGTTAGTTAATTGCATTGACATACAACATTAACATTCACTAACAAGGTGTATCCAATCATGACCATAATACAGCTTTAGTACCTATCAGACTTATTCCTAAATAAGCAACCTACGATGATAAGTGCCATGATACAAAGTGAGTAACACTATCAGCTGCTCACAATTACACAACAATCATGTAACTATATATCTGCTACTACTAGGAGCAAGGGGGATGACCAAACGAAATGCAGAATTACGAGTACAGGGGGGAAGCACCATGCATTATGATGGAGCACCAAGATATGAGGCAAGTCGCAATATATCACTGAATATTCCACCTGCTGTCACTTCAGCCCCAGCTCCCGGACCACGAACTATTAGAGGTTGCTTACAATATCTTTCAGTAGTGAATGCAATTATGTTGTCTGATCCAGAGAGTTGCGCAAATGGATGGTCCTTGTTGTATCTCCGCAATTCAACAGCACCTTTTCCGTTGACAACATCCACTACTCCAACATACCTCAAGACCTTCATGAATATCAACATTTTCAGATGCGGTTATATAAATACAAGAAAGGAAATTTCTCCTCTCTCTCTCAAATATTTAACATGCAACTTGAAAAACTCTCCCCCACTGGGATTCTAACGGCTCTTAGTCCCATATAAAGTCATATTCCTCCTACGCAAAACTAAATGTTTCATGGGACTTGGTAAAGGTACTGAGATGATGCTTGAAAATTGATTGTTTGACATTACTACGATCTAAAAAAGGTATGGAAAAAAGTAACTTCAGTGGAGGGAGTATAGTAGGTTCGTTCAGACAACATGACTATCAGAATACTCGAGGCTCAATTCTACAAGTCCAGAGTACTCACCTCCTCTTCATCTTCAGCCTCCTGCCTCTGTTTAGACAACTCATGATCAAATTTTGGCAGGTCCAGCAAAAAGTCCTCGGCAGATGCAGTAGCCTGAGAAATCCAGAAAATATCACTTCATAGAGAACAAATATGCCTTGCCAATTAATGTTGCATGGATATAAGCTAAGCACTCACCCTTAAAGGTTCTGGCACAAGGCTCTGAACAGGGATATCTGAAAGCTCTAGGTTTAATCCA